TAATGAAGCGTAACGACCCACGTGCCAGGCAGGCGGAGGGCTCGGCAAGGTCGTGTGAAGTGGTCCACCAAGCTACCGACCGGGCGACGGAAGCCCAACGACGCCACAAGCGAGAGAGGCTGAACAAGCTCGTGACTCTCCTCATGTATGGCCTGGCCTTTCTGCTTTTCGTCGCTCAGCTCAGGGCTCGAAGGCTCGGCCCTGTCAAAGAGGGATTCGGGGACGAAGATCAGTGTCGTGAGAAAACAGAAGCCCGCGAGGCCGACGCTGACCCAAAATGTCGAGTCCCAGCCATAGTGGAACGCGATGTAGCCACCACTCAGACCGCCAGCCGTTGCGCCGGCGGCGAGGAAAATAGTGTACACGGCCTGTTCAGCGGCTCCAGTCAGCCGCGACGTCTTTGTGGATGCGTATCAGAAGAAGCGATGTCGCAGGCTTACCATGGCGCGGCCTCTTTCGTGGGCGAAGAACATGTCGCCTACCAAGGCAGGGGCGACTGTTTCAGATGCACCACCTCCAGCTCCTTGGAAGATGCGAGCAGCGAGCAGCGAATTGTACGAGGTTGCCGTGGCTCCCCAGACAGAGCAAACCGTCATCATGAGGGTTGCAATGATCAAAACAGGCCGACGTCCCGCCCAGTTAGAGAGCGGCACCCACCAAATATTCGAGGCTCCGAGCATGAGAATGTTGACCTGGTATCAAAAAAAATCACGAGCGTTAGAGAGGGCCACTCGCAGATTTGGGGGAGACGGCAGGATTCAAGATGCCTTACTGCGATAAGCCTTGTCAGGCGGAACTGCGGCTGAGGGTCGTTCGGGAACTGAGCAGGCCACATCTGCAGAGATGGGGCCATCAGAGAACTTAAATAGTTGGCAACAAAAGCATAGATAGAAGCAGTCAAGAGAGCTGCAACCCTGCGCCAAGTAGGAAGATTGAGGGGGTCACGAGGGTCGGCGGATGGCTTTGGGAACAGCACAATCGAGGCGTTGGGTGTCGCACCCTCCGTATCACCAATATCTACAGTTTTCTCCATGTTAGACGGCTCCTCATTTTCATGGTAGCAATTCAAAAGTTTCTTGATCGCTGTTTGAGAACCTACCAAAAATCTCGACAGTACCAGGAGGTGAGGCATCCTGAACCTGAGTTTTCGACAGCGCGAAGGCTTCGCGCCAAGACGCCATGCTGAATATTTGACTGGTTGCTGAACTTGTGTGTCGATTTGTTAATTTGTAGAGATCTTGGAATGCACTCTGTGAGGTATAACCCTATCCTCAGGACGAATGCACGGGTTGTATATATGGATCATCATGGCTCAGCTTGAGCCCATGGACGGAGCTCAGACCTTTGCACCTCAACAGCTGCGCGGTTCCACTACCCCGGATTTCTCCACTTACCGAGCACGAGTTCCCCCACTGAGCCGAAGCTTTATCGATTCCCCGCGACAAGAGTCTGCGGGGAACCCAAAGTTTGGCATCTCCTCCGCACGCGCTGAGTGCCGACATGCGCCACCTCCGCATCTTCATGTGAGATCGAAGACCCCTAATCCATAAGATGTACGCGCAATGAGATGCCCGACACTTGACTGGATGGACGGCAAGGTGGAAAATCGTAGGATGATGTTGGTGATGCACGGCGGGCCCTGTCGCCAGCTTGGAACTCAACGTCATGGTTCTACCTCGCCTGATCTGTTTCAGACACACATTATGTTGGACGGAGTCAAAATATTCTCAAGCTGATCTCACTTGCGAAGAAGATCCTGAGGTTCCTGGGTATTCCACACTGGTGACTGTGTCCATTCCGATGTGAAATATCCGGTGTGAGATACCCTACTTATTCTCTATATTAATCAAAGGTGTACTCTTCAATTGCAAGCCTCAACATCTCCGATTAGTCAACCCAAGTTTTAACACCTGCGTCAAAACTGTCTCCGAATCCTCGGGTCCTGATATATGAACCTCTTCGGGAAGTGGGGGTTAAGAATTACCGAGTCTGTTACCGTGCCAGGGGCCAAGCCAAGAACACGCCCACAAGTGTAACACTGTGGGGTACACCTATTCGCGTTTGGCCAGTAGTAGCAACCGGGTTGGTCGTTTGACCATCTTGGCACGACTATAGCCTGCAGGCCGTCAGTTGTGGATGTTGTGTTCGTCTAAGCCCCTCCACATGCTTGAATAACTGGGGCAAAATAACCATAAATTCTGTGAGAAACGTGGCAGGTTTGTCTAGTGGGGACCTAGGCCTTTTAGACGGGCATCGACAATCATGCCTACTCCACCATACTTCTTGTGCTGTCAAGGGAGAAACCCTGGAAAGCTGATTCATAGCAGCTGAGGCAAGCGGAGCCGATTCGGGTACAGGACAGTCTCTCAATCTATCAGGGGTTTCATCTAGTTCTAACCGGAGGACGTTGTCGGGAAAGTGCCGGCTATGCACCCCGTTTAAAGAGTCCTCGGCGCCCACAGGCGCCAGTAAATCAACCAGTTTGATCGTTAGGTTGATGGGATGAAGATCCGCAGCGATTGGAGGAATATGCCGGCACCGAAATTACAATGGTTGCTATGTACCCTTGTGGTATCAGCATCCGAGACGGAGTATTTGAAGCGCCCGATACCCCGTGTCGTGATTTCCAGAGGGGGCCGTGGCATTTCTGGGAATTCTGGATACTTTGCACCATATGTTGAATTTCCGGTGAATGCACACTGGCAGTGCTGTATGTGCAAGGTTCGCAAAGTGTGTGGATGAATACAACGACGATGTGTCGAGACAACC